CAGGGGATAAGAGTTTCGCCAGTACGGTTCGTTCTACTGTCATTGGAGATCTGGGTTTCGCGGATGACACGGCATTGGTAGGCATGGCTGATGAAATGCGGGTGGCCGACGCATTGTTCGAGACCACGATGGCCGACTGGGACGAGAGGCTCAACCGGGGCAAAACGGAACGTCTTCGCATTTGTGGTGTTCCCCCGGCACCATACGATGTGCCCATGGAGTTCGAGGTTGAGCAGGTTAAGCATATCGGGGGCATACACTGCAGAAGCGGGGCTCTGACTGCGGATACGACCAAGCGTGTTACGGCGGGCAACGCGCTAGTTAAATCCTTGGCCAAAGGTTGGTCGGTGGGTACGGCGCACGGTCGCGGCCGCACGAGCGGAGTTGATATTAGCACCAGGCTCCAGATTGTGCACTCCTGTGTGATTGGGCTGCTCACGTCCGCTTCGCGGTCACGGGGCTGGACGCGCCACGACCTGGCTAGACTTCAACGAGTGGCCAATTATGGCGTCCGCCGGGCGTTCGGCATGGATGTGCTCATTATGAGGGACCTCGAGGTTTCGGACGCGATGATGTACCGCGCAGCCCAATGGCGGTCGATGGAGGATTTAACGGCGCGCTTGGCACTGCAGTGGTTGGGACACGTGGCTCGAATGCCGGTGTGGCGGGTGCCGAAACAGGTCCTGTTCGGGTGGCTGTCAGCGCGGGGGGGCACCCCTACGGTGGGTCGCATCTGGCAGTATCAGTGGCTGCGGAAGTGTGTCCGGAGGCTGTCAGTCGAAGAAATTGATTGGTTTCGACGCGCCCAGGCCCGGCGAGGGTGGAGACGTGCGATCGACAACAGCTTCCCAAGCGCCCCGTTGACGACAGAGCAGCGCACGGCCATCAATGCGTGGCGTCCCGGGGCTCCTTTGCCGTCGTCGGGGGCGGGGCCGTCGTCGTCGCCGTCGGTCGTCCCTCCTCCTCCTCCTCCTCCCCCTCCCCCTCCCTCCCCCGACGACGACGACGATGAGGCCCAGGAGACCGCGTACTCGTGCCCAGTGTGTCTTGCGAGTTTTGCCACGGGCAACCAGCTGCAGTTTCATTATGATGCTGAGCACTCTGTTCGGGATCCTACGGTTGTCACCAGCCTGAGCCACCAGTGTCCTGATTGCAAACAGTATATGGGCAGAGATGTCAAATACCATAAGGCCACATGTCCCGCGAGACTCGAACTGCGTGATGCCATGCAGGTGGAGTTCGGCAAATGGGAGCCTGTTCTCCACGGGCCACACGCCGCGCCGCCGTTAGGCTGGTGGATTGCCACCGACGGTTCAGGGCTCGACGGTGAGGCGGGTTGGGGCGCAGTTATCTTTCGTTATGAAGGGCCGGGCAGCCCGGGTATGGTGCCTGATTTCGTGCTGCATGCCCCTGTGGTGTGCAGAGCTTGGGATCACAGGTGGATCGGCGCCCGGTCCCAGACGAATAATACAGCAGAGCTGTCTGCCATCGGGGAAGTCATGCACTGGCTGCTGAATGAGGCGCCGGATGGTGGAGCTGTTCCCGTGCACATCCGCTATGATTCGGAGTATGCAGCCAACACCGCCCGGGGCCTGTGGGAGGTGAAGTCCAATGAGGAGCTGGCGGAAACGGTGCGGGGGCTGACGGAACAGGTTATGGCTAGACGCCAAGTGACGTGGGAACACGTGTATGGGCACACTGGAGTGCACGACAACGAACTCGCGGACCGTGCTGCGGAATTGGGACGCCAGGGTATGGTTTCGGAGCAGTCTCTGCGATGGCTTGCGCCCCCTCCCCAAGTCGCCGCCCTTCGGTGGCAGGATATCGACTATTGCAAAAAATGCGGCATTGAGGTCCTATCCAAAGACATTAAGTGGCATTTCCGGCGGTGCACGGCCGTAGGATTTGCCATCACACCAGGGATGACTAAGTGTCGTAAGTGCAAGATGGAGGTCAAAGAGGGGTGCAGACACGCGCACGAGAACAAATGCCGCGGGAGTGAGCTCCTTAATAGGACGTGTAGTAAATGCGGCAAAGTTTTTGAGCCCACGGACCCACCAGGCATGATCTCTCGCCCTTGTGGAGCTCATGAGAAATGGTGTCGTGGCGTGCGCGTGCCGGCGCCCCCAGACCCTGCGGCGCCCGCAGCGGCAGCGCCCGCGGCTGCCCCAGCTGTGCCCAAGGCGAAACCGCGGGCTGAGGGCGGTGCCAAGGCGGTGGCCGCGGTCCGCGGTAGGGGAGCGGCAGCCAAAGCATTAGGCCGCGCACGGGGTCGCGGGCAGCCAGATCCTGGTGGTAATATGAGATTAGCGCTACGGCGCCCCGCGGGCCACGGTTAGGGCCATCCCTCAATGCCGCGTTTTTGCCGGTCGATGGCTCGAAAGCTGGCGGTGGTGATCCGCATCCTGTGTTGTGTTCCTCCTCATCTCGTGCGCAGGTGTTGTTTCTCTCCCCCCTCGTGGTGAGTGTCCTCCTCGTGTCGTTGTGTTTCCTGGTGGCTGCTCTGTGCCGGCGGCGATCCTCGACAGTTCGACCGCGGGGGCGGCTGGTGGTTCTACAGTTCCGCCGAGCCGGCCTGTCTCATCTGGGGACAGGTCAAAGCCGCCCCCAAGCCCTTTCAGCCGGGGCAGAGTATCGTTGTTGTGTCTCTCGGAGGAGGTGGTGTGTGTTGTCTGTGCGTGTTTGTGTGTGTGTGTGTGTGCTTGTGTCTCCCCTCCTCTGTTCTCCCCTCTCGGTGGTGGTGGTTGGTCCCCGGTCCCCCGCCCTTTCCCTTCCTCCCTCGTCCTTCTCTCCCTCCCGTCCTTCCTCCCCTTCCCCCGCCTGCTTCCTCTTTCCCTCCCTCGTCCCCCCCTCCCCTCCCTTCCCGTCCAACCACCATTTGTGCTTTTGTCATTCTCGGTGTGCTGCTGCGCGCGAACGCAGCCCCATGTGACACATTATTTGTGACGCGGCAGTCGCCCCAGCTCGAGCCCACGCGCCGCCCGTCCCACCCCGCGCTGCGATGGCGGCTGCTCGCCGTGCACAGATCGACCAGGCTCTCAACGATCACGCCGATCGTATTGTTCAGCTCGAGCTGACGCAGCGCCGCCACTCTGCGGCTATTGACGCCCTGTTGAAGAGCACGGTCCTGATCGTCGAGGGCTTTCCGCAAGCGGACGTCTTCTACCTGGGTAAAAAGGAGGCGGGGGCCTTCCGCGAGCTCAAAGAGGAGTGGCCCAACGTAGTGTGCAAGGAGGTCGCAGAGCGCCTCGACGTCACTTGGCCGCTCGACGACCAGATGGGCGGCGGCAATAATGAGCGCACCGAAGCTGTTCGCTGCCTGTACAGGGCCCTGTCAGCCCGCGGCTTGATAGTGGGTGTCTACGAGGAGCGGAAGTGGAGCGACGCGGCCGGCGGGGGCAGCGGTTGGCAGCGCCTTCCGGGGGTCTTCAAAACGAGGCTGCGGTTCTGCACAGAGTCGCTCCTCGTCCAGAGCGCGCTCGGGCCCTTGGACAAGCTGTTGAGGACGGCGTGTGGCCTGGACGTGGACGGCCGCCCCACGCGCGTGCAGGGCGTCGAGCCCCCCCCGCGGCGCCTCCTTTACTTGGAGCGCACGCCGGAGGAACGGGGCAAGGGCAAGGGCGGAAAGGGCCCCAAGGGCGGCAAGGGCGACAAGGGGAAGGGCAAGGCCGGCAAGGGCGGCAAGGGCAAGGGCAAGGCCAAGGGCAAGAAGGGTGCGGGAGCAGGTGGCGTGATCCAGGGGGCGCGCCCGGCCGGCCACCTTGCGCGCCCGGCGGCGGCGGTGCCGCCGGCTGCCGCTCCTGCCGCCGGCCCCGCGGACGGAGGTGCCGCCGCCCCGGCGGTGGCCGCCCCGGCGGTCGCCGCTGGCGCCCCCCCGGCGGGGGGGCCCCAGTAAGCCTCCAAGCGCCACAGAGACATGCATGAGAATTCGGCTTAAAGGGCCGCAGAATTGGCTTAAAGGGCCCAGAGCATGGCGTGCGAATTCGGCTTAAAGGGCCCAGAGTCTCTGGTGAGTGCAAAGCATGGATACGAGCTTGGTCGACCTGTCGTGGACCTGTCAGCCTTGTACTTCATGTGCGACTTTTTCAACATGCCGTGGAGCTCGGGCTGTGCTAAAAGGGGTGATCATTGTGACTCCTCTCCCGTCGCCGGCGTTTTGCTCGGATTCGGCTCGTTTATGCTCCCTGTCAAAACGTGTTTGTGTTTGTGTGGTGGTGTGTTCCTCTGGTTTGGGCTGTGTCGATGGTGTCGGTCCCTCTCCCCCCTCCCTCCCCCTCCTCCCCCTCGTCGCCTTCTACTTGATCCTTAGGAGGCACCCGCGTTCATCGTGAAGGCCCGGGAGTCGTGCGCGGCTGTGGACCCGGAGGCGGAGGCGGAGGCGGAGGCGAGGAGAAAGAACGGAGAGGAAGAGGAGGAAACCGCCGCCCGGAGAAAAGAAACAGAGGAGCAGGAAGAGGAGGAGGCAAGCGAGGAGGACGGGGGGGACGGTGTTTCATACGTAGGAAGGTAACGGAGTTTGGGCCACGAACGTTTGGCCCGCTGTCTTTGTGAACCCCCTATGTGCCCTTTTTTCCGTGCGCTCCGAAACCTATTTTGGGCTTGGGCGCTGAATTGCTGTGTGTCTTGTGCACCCTCTGCCGAGTTCTACATGTCGTGATTACCATCGACCCTTTGCTGATCGTATGTCCATCTGTTTGTGGCACCTCGTCCTTTTCCTACTCCTCGTCCTTCTCCTCCTCCTCCTCCTCCTCCTTCTCCTCCCCGTCCTTCGTCTCCTCTTGGGCCTGCCCCCCTCCTCGACCTCCGTTGTTATCCTCCTCCTCCTCCTCCTCCTCTTCCCCACCTTCTCCCCTCTCCTATTTATCTCTCTTATTCCTCTTCGTGCCAGTCGTTTTCCTTGCTTCAACCCCATCCTTCTGACATTATCCGTCCGCCCTCCTCTTCCTCCTCCTCCTCCGCCTCTGTGTCCTCCGTCCTTCGTCTGCCCCGATTTCGGCCAGGTCGAAGCGGAGTTGGAGAGGTGGCAGTGCGGCGCGTATTCCCACATCACGAGGGCAACCTCTGTGACTAGTGGCAGGATAATCCACCTCGAGACGATCTTCTCCCAGCCATGCCAGAGCAAGCCCGTGCCCGTGGCCGTCGCCCTGGTGCACTTTTTCCTCGACGTGGCCACCGACGACCTCACGTACCAGTTCGAGGAGGAGCACGTGCAGCACGAGGTGGGGGGCATGTCCCTGGCCGAGGGCCAGTTCCACGGGTGGCTGGACCGCATCATAGGCGACAAGCTGGAGGTGCGGCGGCTCCACGACCTCGCCACGCCCTTCGAGCGCACGCGGCTGGTGCCGCCCCCGGAGCACCGAGGGGAAGAGGCGGAGGACCGCGGGGACGTCAAGTGTCCGCCTCACCGATCCTGGCCAGGCCCACCCTGGGCCCAGAATCTCGGTGCAGACGTGACCTCCTGGCTCGGCAAGGGGAGGCAGGAACACCGGTCCTGGGCTCCAGATCGGCCCGGCCAGAGGCGGCAGGGGGCTTCCCACAGGCCGCCGAGATTGTGTTTTGCTCTCAGCATGGGCCCCCCCAGCGATCTGGATGGACAGCTTCCCAGGAGCAGGGCTTTCACCCCGAGCTGTTTTCTGACGGCCAGGGGCGCCGCCAAAAGGCTCCTCCCCCCAGGAGCCGAAGATTGCTGGAGACACTCCGGCGTGATCTTCCCGCGGCGTTCCCCGAGAGGGGGTGCGGTCGGGAACACTGTTGGCTCGCGTGTCGCTCTGCCGGCTCTGGCCCACCGCGCTTCGCCGCGGCACGCTGTCCATTGAGCAGTCCCCGAACGTCCACGTCCCGAGCTTCTCCGAGCCTGCGGCACGAGCGTCCACGTCCACGACCCCGAACGTCCGCGTCCGCATGGGCAGCGTGTCGCGGCGTCGCTTCTGGCCCGCCTCGCTTTGGCGCGACACGCGATCCATCTCCCGGTCCCCAGGCGTCAACGTCCCGAGCCTCTCCCCGCCTCCCGCCCCGCGGGGCCGAGCGACACGCCATCCGTTCGCAAGGCATATGGGCGTGTCGCTGGGGCCGCCGCCGCGACACGCCAAGCAACAATTTGTGACCGTAAGGGCCCTAAAGTTTCGGTGCCAATCACTCGAGCCGAAACCTGAATTACCTGCGCGCACAGGACTCTGTGACTCCAAGTCGCAGACATACATGCAGCCGAAGAACCTGACCGTAATCGTCACCACTCAAGCATACATACTTACATTATGTGTGCGTCGGCCCCACAAGGGCGACGCGCTCCAACATCTCAAAGTGTAAGCTCCGTGGTGGGCGCTTTCTAGCAATACCGCCCAGGAGTCGATATACTACAAGGCCTGTGTGCTATGTGTTCGTGTCGGACGTGCGCCTCCAACATCACCACATCACCACGTAAGGGTCCCCAGAAGCCGAAGGCTGGCAACAGCCGTCCGTCGTGCGCTTTGCTCCCACCTAATTAGCTGCCCTGAGACGCCCGTGCTGAGACGCAGCATCCACCGTGCTCACGACGTCCGTGTCAACACGCTGCGCGTTGGCTCGACGCGTTGACCCACGTATTGGCGAACGCATCACGTCAGACGTACATACGCTTTCTGATCTACGTGCTGAGCTCCTTGCCAACACGCAACGGGTTGCTTGTTACGTACTGGGGCAGCTGAGCTCCCAGCGGTCGATCTCGTCGTCGTCGTCGTCGTCGTCGTCGTGGTCGTGGTCGTGGTCGTGGTCGTCGTCGTGGTCGTGGTCGTGGTCGTGGTCGTCGTCATCGTCGTCGTCGTCGTCGTGGTCGTCGTCGTCGTCGTCGTCGTCCTCGTCGTCGCCGTGGTCGTCCTCGTCCTCGTCCTCGTTCTCGTCCTCGTCCTCGTCGTCGTCCTCGTCCTCGTCCTCGTCCTCGTCCTCGACGCCGTCGTCGTCCTCGTCCTCGTCGTCGTCGTCAAAAGCCCTCCGTCGTACTCTTTGCTCCCAGCGCCCTCCCCCCCCCGAAGAGCTCCCAGCGCGTCCCCCCACGGAGAGGAGGAGACCGAGGAGCCGCCGGCGGAGCGGGAGCGGCCGCCGCGGGAGCTGGCCCCGCCGGGGCCCCTCTCGCGCCCGGTGATGCGGGTCGTGCCGCCCGCGGGCGCCGAGGGCGAGGACGACGGCGGCGGGCTGCCCCTCAGCAGCATGCTGGAGAACATCTTCGATGCCGCCGACGAGGACGCGGGAGCTTCGCGTCTGGGCGTGGCGGCGGTTTCGACCCGGGCGTTTTTCGCCGGGCTGCGGGTCCCCGGGGCCCTGACAGATCGATGCGGCTCGGCAAATGACGCAGGGAGAGGAGGAGGAGGAGGAGGAGGAGGAGGAGGAGGAGGAGGAGGAGGAGGAGGAGGAGGAGGAGGAGGAGGAGGAGGAGGAGGAGATGGGGTCCAGGGCTCCGGTGGTGGTTTCTCGCGATGCTGTATCCTCCCTGCAGCGAGGGGTCCGATAGGGGAGCCCCCCTGCCGCGCTCGGCATCTATGGCTCCGCCCTCCGACCCGGGCGTCGCAGGAAGCTGTGGCGGCCGTCGCTTTTTGGGCTGGTCTTCGGCCTCCCGGGGGGGGCGGGGCCGTCGGAGATTTCTCGAGATGGGAATCGCCCCGGGGAGGTGGCCGTGGTGCTCCCGGGGGCCCACGTCGCGAAGCAGTTTCAACGTCAGAGGGAGGGGTCCTCGTCTTTTCTTGTGGTGGGCTCATGTGCCAATGGGCGGCGAGGTCCTCTTAGCCCTCTTCTTCCTCCTCCTTCACCACCTCCTCCTCCTTCCCTCCCTGTCACTTGAATGCGATGTTCTATCCGTCATGCCTGAACCAGACACAGAGCTGCGCTTCACACTGGAAACAGACAAGCATTTTCCTTCTCTTGCTTCTCCTCCTCCTGCTCTTCCTATTCACTATCCTTCTCCCCTCTCTTCCCCCGTCTCCTCCCTGGCCTCTCGCACTGCCTTGTGCATACCTTTGGGGTGGGGCCATCTATCCAAACACAGCCCTCTCAAGCTCTGCCCGCCTTTGGCAGTCATTGGGCGACACTCGAAGGCCAGTGACGTGGCCATCAGACTGTCATAGCAACCGCAGGTTGTGCACGCGTGCAGGCTCATACCATCAACATTTATATGAGAGCGTGCAAAGGATGCAGCAGGCCTCACGAGGCCTGGGCGCAGCACGATTGGTGCTTCTCAGGGTGTGCTGCCAGGATACTCCTGCCTGGCATCTGGCGCGTGGCTCTGTTGGGGGTGCGGTGGGGTCGTCCGCGAGGAGGAAGAGCTCGAGCTCACGCACAAGGAGGTCGCCGACCTGCTATACGCGACCCCCCTCGGCCTCGCCGACTGGGACGTGAAGCTGCTGCTGACCACGGCGACCGAGCTCGAGACAGGAAAGATTCAGTACAAGCCCTTCGTGAAGGCCCGGGGGCCGCCAAATCATATGCATGCTGATCATATGCAGGCTTGCTTGAAGTCCAACCGTGCAGGTTTCAGGAGGCCACGGCTTCCCCCACCAGGTCTTGAGTAGGCCTTGATAGCTGTCCGCAGTGGTGGTTCGTTCGTTCGTTCGTTCTTTCGGGGGCCGCCATCTCTCTCTCTCTCTCTCTCTTTCTTTCTCTCTCTCTCTCTCTCTCTCTCTCTCACTCTATATATATATATATGTACATATACACACACGCACCTGGCTGCCCCGAGCCTGGCCTGGCCCATCCTGTGCCTGGGCTCGGTGAGGATGCCATGCTCGGTGAAGCGCCCCCCAGGCCTGGCCTGAGGTCGGGCATGTCCCTCTACAGGAGGAGTATTCAAACATAGTTCAAAAATAGCCTGGGGACGATTTTTCTGTTATTCTCTTTATTTCCCAACCATCCTGTGGTGTTGGGTCCTCGTTTTGAAAGACGGTGCCCCGCGTTCCCTCCTCCCGCTGCCCCCTCCCTCCTCCCCCTCTTCCCTGCGTTTCACCCACCCAGTACAGCGTTTCGTAGCCCATAGGAGCTCCACCGAAGGCCCCAGCACCCGCGCCCGCATGCGTCACCCACACCCATTCGGCACACCCCTCACACGTTTCGTGGCTCCATAGGGAGCTCCACCGAAGGCCCCAGTGCCCGCGCCCGCATGCGTCACCCACACCCATTTCGGCACACCCCTCACACGTTTCGTGGCTCCATAGGGAGCTCCACCGAAGGCCCCAGTGCCCGCGCCCGCATGCGTCACCCACACCCATTTCGGCACACCCCTCACACGTTTCGTGGCTCATAGGGAGCTCCACCGAAGGCCGAGCAGAACCGCCCCAGTGCCCGCGCCCGCATGCGTCACCACACCCATTTCGGCACACCCCGCACACGCTTCGTGGCTCCATAGGGAGCTCCACCGAAGGCCCCAGTGCCCGCGCCCGCATGCGTCAGCCACACCCATTTCGGCACACCCCTCACACGTTTCGTGGCTCCATAGGGAGCTCCACCGAAGGCCCCATTGCCCGCGCCCGCATGCGTCACCCACACCCATTTCGGCACACCCCTCACACGTTTCGTGGCCCCATAGGGAGCTCCGCCGAAGGCCCCAGTTCCCGCGCCCGCATGCGTCAGCCACACCCATTTTCGGCACAACCTCACACGTGTCAGTGGCTTGGCATAGGGGCCCACCGATAGGCCCAGTGCCCGCAGCACGCCATGCAGTTCAGCCACACCATTTCGGCACACCCTCAACAGCGCTTCGTAGCCCCATAGGAGCTCCGCCGAAGGCCCCAGTACCCGCGCCCGCATGCGTCACCCACACCCAATTCGGCACACCCCTCACACGCTTCGTGGCTCCATAGGAGCTCCACCGAAGGCCCCAGTGCCCGCGCCCGCATGCGTCACCCACACCCATTTCGGCGCACCCCTCACACGCTTCGTGGCTCCATAGGGAGCTCCGCCGAAGGCCCCAGTGCCCGCGCCGCATGCGTCACCCACACCCATTTCGGCACACCCCTCACACGTTTCGTGGCTCATAGGAGCCCCACCCGAAGGCCCCAGTGCCCGCGCCGCATGCGGCATGCATCAGCCTCACCATCCATTTCGGCCACACCCTCACACCCCTCACACTGTTTCGTGGCCATAGGGAGCTCCGCCGAAGGCCCCAGTGCCGCGCCCGCTTGCGTCAGCCACACCCATTTCGGCACGCCCCTCACGCGTCCGTTGCCCCATTGGAGCTCCGCCGAAGAAAGGTCCCAGTGTCAATTGGGTGTGCCCGCATGCGTCCCGCACACCCATTTCGGCACACCCCTCGTACGTTTCGTGGCCCCGTAGGGGGCTCCACCGAAGGCCCCAGTGGGTGTGCCCGCATGCGTCCCGCACACCCATTTCGGCACACCCCTCGTACGTTTCGTGGCCCCGTAGGGGGCTCCACCGAGAAGATATTCACAATTGCAGTATTCACAATTGCATATGGTTGGGTCCTTCGCCAGGATAATTTTGAATAGTTTATTGAAATGTTTATCCGTAAGGGCTTCGCCCCCTGCCGCCGGCCCCCTCTCTCGGAGAATGGGAGATGCAAAAGCTAAATCATGAAGTCTGGGCGCCGCCGTGAAGCAGTGTCGGGACCTGCTTGTTTTTCGACCCTGACCCTAATCTTGCTGTTTTTACCCATTCTAATTTGCCTTTTTATCCTCTTTCCTTCTATTTACTTTTATTTTTGAAAATTTTTGTTTACATTTTATTTTCTGACCCTATGGATTTGCGTCACGGGTGCCACCGAATTTCAAAACATGTGCAAATCCCTTGTGTTGTTCCCAACCATCCTGTGGTGTTGGGTCCTCGTTTTGAAGAGACGGTGCCCCGCGTCTCCTTCCTCCTCTCCTCCTCCGCCTCCTCTCCCCTCCTCTTCTCCTCCCCTCCTCTCCTCCTCTCCTCTTCACCCACCCAGTACACCGTGTCGTGGCTCCATAGGGAGCTCCGCCGAAGGCCCCAGTGCCCGCGCCCGCATGCGTCACCCACACCCATTTCGGCACACCCCTCACACGTTTCGTGGCTCCATAGGGAGCTCCACCGAAGGCCCCAGTGCCCGCGCCCGCATGCGTCACCCACGCCCATTTCGGCGCACCCCTCACACGTTTCGTGGCTCCATAGGGAGCTCCACCGAAGGCCCCAGTGCCCGCGCCCGCATGCGTCACCCACGCCCATTTCGGCACACCCCTCACACGTTTCGTGGCTCCATAGGGGGCTCCACCGAAGGCCCCAGTGCCCGCGCCCGCATGCGTCACCCACACCCATTTCGGCACACCCCTCACACGTTTCGTGGCTCCATAAGGAGCTCCACCGAAGGCCCCAGTGCCCGCGCCCGCATGCGTCAACCACACCCATTTCGGCACACCCCTCACACGTTTCGTGGCCCCATAGGGAGCTCCGCCGAAGGCCCAGTGCTGCCGCCCGCATGCGTCACGCACACCCAATTCGGCACACCCCTCACACGCTTCGTGGCCCCATAGGGAGCTCCCACCGACGGCCCAGTGCCGCGCCCGCATGCGTCACCACACCATTTTCGGGCCACCACCCCTCACACGCTTCGTGCCTCCATAGGGAGCTCCACCCGTAGGCCCCAGTTGCTGCCGCCGCCATGCGTCTGCCACCGCTCAGTACAGCTAGGCACACCCTCACCCGTTTTCGTGGCCCCATAGGGATTCTCCGCGAATGGCCCCGTGCCCGCGCCGAATTTGCGTCAGCCACACACATGTCGGCACGCCCCTCACCGTTTCGTGGCTCCATAGGGAGCTCCACCGAAGGCCCCAGTGCCCGCGCCCGCATGCGTCACCCACACCCATTTCGGCACACCCCTCACACGTTTTGTGGCTCCATAGGGAGCTCCACCGAAGGCCCCAGTGCCCGCGCCCGCATGCGTCACCCACACCCATTTCGGCACACCCCTCACACGTTTCGTGCCTCCATAGGGAGCTCCGCCGAAGGCCCCAGTGCCCGCGCCCGCATGCGTCACCCACACCCATTTCGGCACACCCCTCACACGCTTCGTGGCTCCATAGGGAGCTCCACCGAAGGCCCCAGTACCCGCGCCCGCATGCGTCACCCACACCCATTTCGGCACACCCCTCACACGTTTCGTGGCTGCATAGGGAGCTCCACCGAAGGCCCCAGTGCCCGCGACCGCATGCGTCAGCCACACCCATTTCGGCACACCCCTCACACGTTTCGTGGCTCCATAGGGAGCTCCACCGAAGGCCCCAGTGCCCGCGCCCGCATGCGTCACCCACACCCATTTCGGCACACCACTCACACGTTTCGTGGCCCCAAAGGGAGCTCCATCGAAGGCCCCAGTGCCAGCGCCCGCATGCGTCACCCACACCCATTTCGGCACACCCCTCACACGTTTCGTGGCTCATAGGGAGCTCCGCCGAAGGCCCCAGTGCCCGCGCCCGCATGCGTCACCCACACCCATTTCGGCACACTCGTACGTTCGTGGCCCCGTAGGGGGCTCCACCGAGAAGATATTCACAATTGCAGTATTCACAATTGCATATTGTTGGGTCCTTCGCCAGGATAATTTGACCCTGACCCTACGGATCTGCGTGAGGGGTGCCGCTGAATTTCAGAAATGTTGCAAATCCTCTGTGTGTGCTGGACCCTGACCCTGCCGATCTGCGTGAGGGGTGCCGCCGAATGTCAGGAATGTAGCAAATCCCATGTGTTGTTGGACCCTGACCCCGCCGATCTGCGTGTGGCCAATCCTTTGTGTTTTTGCACCCTGACCCCGCCGATCTGCGTGAGGGGTGCCACCGAATATAAAAACTGTGGCTAATCCGATGTGTTTTTGGACCCTGACCCCGCCGATATGGGCGAGGGGTGCCACCGAATTTCAGAAATGTGGTGAATCCTATGTGTTTTTGGACCCTGACCCCGCCGATCTGCGTGAGGGGTGCAACCGAATTTTTAAACTGTGGCTAATCCTATTTGTTTTTGGACCCTGACCCCGCCGATCTGCGTGAGAGGTGACACCGAATTTTGTGGCAAATCCCTTGTGTTTTGGATCCTGACCCAGCCGATCTGCGTGAGGGGTGCCACCGAATGTCAAACATGTGGCACATCCTTTCATGTTTTGGACCCTGACCCTGCCGATCTGCATGAGGGGTGCCGCCGAAGTTTTAGAAATGTAGCTAATCCCATGTGTTTTTGGACCCTGACCCTGCCGATCTGCGTGAGGGGTGCCGCCGAATTTCAGACATGTGGCAAATCCCATGTGTTTTTGGACCTTGACCCCGCCGATCTGCGTCAGGGGTGTCAATGTTTCCCCACCCCGGCAATTCAGATAATACGATTTATTCGTGGTAAAAATGCTCGTTTCGGGCCTCCCCCCCTCACGCGGTCCATCAACAAGGAACAGTAAGCAGCAAGAAGTCAACAAGGAACTGTAAGCAGCAAGAAGCAGAACTGTAATAGTGGAAACTGGAAGCTGCACCTGGCACATGAAACTGCGAACCTCCGGCCTACAGCCTGGTGGCTCCGCAAGGGGGCCGGCGGATTTTTCGTCCAGAATCTGCCTGTAGGGGGCATGCCCGACCTCAGTGAAGATGCCATGTGCGGTGAAGCGCTCCCCAGGCCCGGCCAGGAAGACGGACCAAAACGGATCCTCGGCCCAGGACAGGCCTGGCCAGGACTGGCCTGGCCAGGACTGGTGCGCCGTCGGCCTCCTCCCGAAGGCGGCTCCTGCGATCGTCGAGGCGCTGCTCAAGAGGCGCGCGGCCTTTGAGGAAAGGACCCGCGGGGCCACGCCGGCGACCATGGAGGCCATCGAGCTGTGCTACCAGGAGGACCCAGACTTCCGACGCCCTGGCCTCAGAGGCGACGATGGGGGCGAATGGCCCAGGGGAGAGCAATACATGCATCCAGGGGCGCCGATAATCTGTGTCTTCGACAAGGCTCCCAGGCGAATGCGTTTAATGCCCGCCCCTGGGCTATTCGCCCTCATCGTTGCCGCCGATGGCCGATTCAATCCGCGGCCCCCGCAGGCCCCGTCCGCTTCCGCGGCCTCCGCTCGCTGCTGCCGACTCGGGGCCCCACTGGGCCCCGAGAGAGCGGCCCGGGCGCCAGACTTCGGGTGTTTCGCGTGCGGGGGGGGCCCCTCGCCGGAGTGGCCATCTGGTGTGGGCTCACGCGGGTCTCCCCGGCACTGGCCCGCGCGCTCGGATTTCCGGGGGCCCCCCAGACGGGGTGGTGACCACACCGTGTGGTGAGTCGGTGGGGATTCGGGGTCACCGCACGGTTTTGGGACTCGGGTCTTTCTCCGAGGACGTCTCGGGCGACTCGGACGTCAGAGGCCCCGAAACCGTACCGTGCGTTGACGGACCTTGCGGTGAGGTCTTGGGGGATTTCGAGGTCACCGCACGGTCTGTCACCGCACCTCTTCGGGACTCCAAAGATTTGCCCCCTCCCCCCCCCCCCCAACCCGCGGCCTCCTCAGGCCGCCCTTGCCCAGGACCAATCCTTGCGCGTGGCCGCGCAAGATCGAGAGAGAGCGCAGGGACTCATTCCCCAGTCCGCGCTTGCACTGAAGGGGTCCTATAGCGTAAATGGAAAGATTTGGCGGAAGTTCCCCGCCGATTTTGGAGGCCGGCTGGGTTCCCGGGTTCTGGGTTCCTGGGTTCCTGCTTATTGGTTCTGGGCTGATTTCGGTGGGTTCCGGGTTCCCGGGTTCCCAGTCGATCTCCTTATCGATCAAACCATCCATTGATTGGGGCTTGTCTCTGGTGTAATGTGACAGCACGGCGTCGGAGGCCCCACAGAGGAGATCGAGGAAGTCGCCCGCGCAGCACGGGACGCGTTCGTGTCCCGGGACACCGGCGGGCTGGGGGCTCTGCCGCGCCACGAGTTCAGGACGTGCCTCGGCCAGCGCGGGGACCGCTTCTCGGCGCAGGAGGTGGAGATGCTGATGCAGATGTGCAAGGCTCGGGACCCCCTTGGTGGTGACGAATGGAGAGAGGGGCGGAGTGAGGGGGGGGTCAGGGGCAACGATCTGGGGGGATAGTTTCAGGGGGGATGCATCGACCCCCCATCGCCCCTTCAACGCTGATGGGGGCCCGATTGCCCACCCCGCCAAGGAACATGCGAATTTGCGACCGTGAGCGATGCATCGCCTATTCCAGGTCGATGTTTCCCCCCCCCCCCCCCCCTGAGTTGGTCCCTCAAGGGTGGGGAGCTTCGTGCCAGGGAGTGGAGCCCTTTGTCGATTCGGTCCAGATAGTTAGCCAGGCTGCCCATAGAAACGCCGACGTGACCGCGCTTCGCGCGCCGCGGCGTCGGCCCGGGGGGTACCCTCCTCCGTGGGGCTTCGCGGAAGACCGCGAAGGGACTCGCGGGTCGTGAGTCGATCAGCGCCAAGCGAAGAATGAGCTCATCGTCGTCAGATAGTGCCCGCATGTGTCCTTTTGAGCTGGACAAAGTCTCACGGCTGGCAGTCCGTCTTTCCCACCTTTGTTGCGGCCCCCCGCGCCTGTTGCTTGCCCACCCGCCGTGCTCTTCACTCATCGGTATGGCGGTCCTTCGCCTCCTCGTCCATCTGCGCCTCCACATCTTCGTTCTGCTCCCCACACCTCTCGTGACTCCAACATAGAAAGGCCATATGCTCTTCGCAATTGTCAGCGTCCCGCAGCCTTTTTCCGGGCCCCATAACCGTCAAGGCACGATTCGGGACGAACAGCGGGCTCCAAGGAAGGTGTCGAGAGGCCTGGGGGGCGGCGATTTGAAGAGCTAGAGTTGTCGGAGGTCTGGGTCCGCCTCTACCGCCTCGGCGGATGGATGTCTGAATGGAGGGCAAATGGTAGCCGCTTGGCATCCCAAGAGGAGAATGACGAGGGCATGGTAGGATACGAGGACATATCCTCCTTGCTGATGCAGCTGAGAATGGATGCTCTACACAACGCGGCTGTCGAGACTGACGTTCAGTCGCTCATGATCCACCTCATCAGGCTCTGCCAAAAAGAAGGCATGGGCTCGGACAATATATTGTACATCTGGGAGCTGAGGAATGTGCTTACTCGAGCGGACCAGGTGTGCCTGTCGCGCATGCAGATCCACGTGATTCTCATGATCATCCACCCCAACGAGAGTGGTGAGGTGGACGTGGAGTATTTTCTGCGCGTTTGCTGCACGGTCATTCCGTATATGTTCGACACAACCGCGTTCGGTGAGATGGCCGCGCAGATCCAGAAAGACAAGCAGGACGCCATCGCGAAGCAGGAGCTGGAGGAGCTCCAAGGCTTCGCGGGAAGCAGCATGGTGAACACCAAGAAGCGCCCTGAGGACGAGCTCGAACAGGAGGATCAGCAGACCAACGCGCCGGACAAAGATTCTGTTGAGAAGGATCTGATGCAGAAGGCCAACGCGGATCCGTTCCCGACCGCGGGGAGGCTCATGAACCTGCTGCGCAGCGAGTCCCTGCAGCACCTGCAGCTCTCTGACGCCGAGCTTCGCGGTCTCATCGCGGAGATCCGATTTGTCTCGGAGGCGGACATCGTCGAGCAGGGCAAGGAAAAGGTGCGGGGGGACAAGATCGCGTTTGCCGATCACATAAAGACGTGGGTGCCCATCATGTTCGAGCTGCGGAAAGCCAGGATCTACGAGCCAGTCCTGACCAAGGACTGGGGCATGGACGCAGGCCACCTGGTCGACATCAACGCGCTCGGGGCGCGTGACTGGCTTCGGATCGACCACTCCGACGACGATGCGCGCTCAGAGAGGAGCACCAGCTCGCGTCTTAGGAGGAGGCCGAGCTGGGACAAGAGGCCTACCAGGGACAGGTCGTGGGCGGGGAGCACGTGATCGTTTTCTTATTCATTGTTTTGCCGATCGGCGCGGGCCCCCTCCCCCCGCCCTCCCCCCCATGGAGTAGATCTTGGCTGTGTTTGGCGCCTGTTTCGATCAGGTGGAGTCTCCCCCCATAGGACGCACTGTCGCAAACAGTCGCACTAAGCAGAGGTCCGGAGCCAGACACCCCCCCTCTCTCCCCCCCTTCCGCCCAGTGTCGAAACGCCGAATCAGAAAACGCTCACCATATCAACATCAACGGCCTCGCGGCCTGGACTCCAAGGCAGCGACCTCATGGATGCATGGCGGCTTTGGAGCGGATGCCCCTCGCGGAACGCATCCATGACCTCGCTTATGCTGCTCTCATCGTGCTCAAGGGCCACATCACAGAAATAACTTCGAGCACCCGGAAAAGTGTCGAAACGGTGTCGAGGCAGTGTCGGACGATTGTCTCCTGGGGCCCGACACGTGAAAACCCTCGAGTTTCGGTGCTTTCTTGGTGTTCGAGACTCTTTTTTGGTGATCAAGGCTATAGTGGGTTGGAACATGACACGACCTCGCGCAGTCGTGGGAGTGACGGCTCGGTGTCCGGACCGCGAGGCCACAGCACACGGCAGAGCTCGCCTCAAGTCGGACATCTCCCCCTACAGGAGGAATATTCAGAAATAGTTCAAAAATAGTCGGTGGACGATTTTTTCCAGATTTTGAATATTTTGGGTGCATTGTTGTTTGACTACTTTTTATTTTTCCTCCAAAATCCGCCTGTAGGGGGACACGCCCGACCTAATGCTCGCCGCCCGCGAGCAGGCTCGGACGCAGCGGCAGGCAGGGCACCAAGGGCGCGCGCAGGCACGGCACCAAGAACCTGTCCTGTCATTTTCATTATTATTGCTGTTATTATTGAAATTATTATTATTGCTACTATCATGATTTCCATTATCATCATCATCACCATCATCACCATCACCATCACCATCACCATCACCATCACCATCATCATCATCATCATCACCATCATCGTCATCATCATCATCATCGTCATCGTCATCGTCATCGTCATCGTCATCATCATCATCATCATCATCATCATCAGCATCATCATCATAATCATCATCATCATCATAATCATAATCATCATCATCATCACCATCATCATCATCATCATCATCATCATCATCGTCGTCGTCATCATCATCACCACCATCACCATCACCATCATCACCATCACCATCACCATCACCATCATCATCATCATCCTCCTCATCATCATCATCATCATCCTCATCATGATCATCATCATCATCATCATCATCATCATCATCATCATCATCATCATCATCATCGTCACCATCACCATCACCATCACCATCACCATCACCATCACCATCACCACCACCACCATCACCATCACCATCATCATCAGGCAGGGCACCAAGACCCTCTCCCGCTCGAGCAGCAGGGCCAGCCTGGGCCAGGCCGAGGACAGCGACGACTCGGGCACGAGCGGCGCCAGCAGCGTCAGCCGTGCCAGCGCGAGGAGCGGTGCTGGCATGCGGCCCTCCTCCCGCCAGAGGTTGGTGTCGAAGCCTCTCGCAAGGACCACTGGCCGGGCGGGCACCAAGTCCCGGTGAGGCCTCTCGTTGCCAGCGTCAGGGCTCGCTGGGGCACTGGGCCCGTTGGGACGTGGAGGAGGGGGCGGGAGGAGGAGGAGGAGGAGGAGGAGGAGGAGGAGGAGGAGGAGGAGGAGGAGGGGAGGAGGACGAAGGACGGAGGAGGCACAGCTGGGCAACAGCGAGTTGAGGACGTGGAGAGAAGGGGCTCCTTGATGAGGTGGAGGAGGAGCCGGAGGAGGAGGAGGGAGAGGAGGAGGAGGAGGAGGGAGGAGGAGGAGGAGGAGGGGAGGAGGAAGCGAGGAGGAGAGGAGGAGGAGGAGGAGGAGGAGGAGGAGGAGGAGGAGGGAGGCCCGCTGGGGCACCGGGTGCGTGGGAATGACGGAGGAGGCGGGAGGAGGTGGAGAGGGGGGGGTCACGAGGCGTGGATCTCGAGGAGGAGGAGGGAGCGGAGGAGGAGGAGGAGGAGGAGGAGGAGGAGGAGGAGGAGGAGGAGGAGGACGGGAGGAGGAGGAGGAGCAGGAGGAGGATGGAGGAGAGGACGGGAGGAGGAGGAGGAGGCGGAGGAGGAGAGGAGGCCCGCTGGGCACCGGGCGCGTTGGGACGTGGAGGAGGGGGCAGGGCGAGGGAGGATGAGGAGGTAGGAGGAGGAGGAGGAGGAGGAGGAGGAGGAGGCCCGCAGGTGCACAAGGAGCGTTGGGACGTGGAGGAAGGGAGGGGAGGAGGTGGAGAAGGAGGAGGAGGAGAAGGAGGAGGAGGAGGAGGAGGAGACGGGAGAGGAGGAGGAGGAGGAGGAGGAGGAGAGGAGGAAGGAGGAGGTAGGAGGAGGAGGAAGGAGGCGGCCCGCACCCGCTGGGGCACCGGGTCGCTTGGGACGTGAAGGAGTGGGAGGAGGAGAGGTAGGAGGAGGAGGAGGAGGAAGGAGGAGGAGGAGGAGGAGGAGGAAGCGAAGGAGGAGGAGGAGGAGGGAGGAGGAGGAGGAGGAGGAGGAGGAGGAGGAGGAGGGAGGAGGAGTTGGAGGATGGTGCAGGGGACATGTGAATGAGAGGGGGAAAGGGGGAGGAGAAGGAGGAGAATACAGAGGCGGGGGGCATCATCAGCGGTGAGGGGGGTGAATGGAGGCCAGGCGGGGCATGAGGATACGTAGGGGACGGATGAGTCAGAGGGGCAGGAGGAGGACGAGGGGTAGGATGATGATGCGGAGGAAGGAGGAGTTGGAGGATGATGCGGAGTTGGAGAAGGAGGAAGACGATGATGGCAGTAGACTGAGGAGGAGGACAGCTGGAAAGAGGAGGAGGACACAGAGGACAATGAGGAGGGGGAAGAGGAGTTGGATATGAAAACGGACCAACGTGAATCCAGGATGCGGTAACGATGCCGCAAGACACATTACCGTCACCGGTTCTCTAATCTGACCCAGTTCTATGTATATTCACTACGGGGAGCGCTGACGAGCGCCCCACGGGCCTGATATTCAGTCGAGCGCCCATCTTAAGCACGAGTCGCCATCTTTCCCCGTAAATCTGGAAACTCCCCTCCCCATCCCTCCTCACCTCTCTTTTCTCTCCTCTCCTCCATCTCCCTACACTTCCCCACTGCCCCTCCTTCTCCTCCCTCTTTCCCCCTGTCATTCCGAATCATTCCCATGCCCCCTGCACCATCCTCCAACTCCTCCTCCTCCTCCTCCTCCTCCTCCTGCTCCTCCTCCTCCTCCTCCCCCTCCTCCGCCCCCTTTCCCATCCTCCGCCCCCCTCGTATCCTTCCCCCGTGCTTTGACGCCCTGCGCGCGCGGAACGGGAGGGGTGTGTGGGGTGTGTGTGTGTGGGGGGGGGGGGGGCGCCCCGCCCTCCGCCCTCCTCGCACCTCCTCTCTTCCTCTCGAGCTCTGCCGCCCTGCGGCCCTGCGCGCGTGGAACGGGGGGGGGGAGGAGGAAGGCGCGCGGGCTCGCCCGACCGCTCGACCGCCCCACCGATGCGCGGACTGCCCGCGACACGGTGCCGAAACGCGGCTGGCCGGTCGCGGGAAAAAGATGTCGGCCCCCCCCTTCCCTCGAGGAGGATGGGGTAGGAGGGGGAGGGGGAGGAGGAGGAGGAAAAGGACGATGAGGGAGAGGGGGAGGAGAAGGATGAGGAGCAGCAGCAGGAGGAAAAGCAGGAGCAGGAGCAGGAGGAGGAGGAGGAGGAGGAGGAGGAGGAGGAGGAACATGAGGAAGATGAGGAGGAGCAGCAGGAGGAGGAGGAGGAGGAGGAGGAGCAGGAGGAGCAGGACGAGTAGGAAGAGGAGGATGAGGAGGAGGAGGAGGGGCAGGAGCAGGAGGAGCAGGGGGAGATGGGAGCACCGCAGTAATGATGCTCTCTTAGTAGGTAGCTCATTCGAGGAGGAGGGTTACGGTCGGACCGAGGTATCAGATCGAGGTCGATTCGGGGAGGCTACCCTCATGTTTTTCGCGTTTGTTTTGATGTGTTTGTGCATCCTGGAGGGTACCCTCGAGTGATCTTATGGTTTGGTGTGTTTTGTCCGGCGGAAGCTATGATATTGAAGGATATTCTTCTGTCCTCGATCCGACCGTCTTTTTCGTTCTGGTAGTTTCAGCAATACTTGGGTGGATTTGCGCACCAGAACCAAATTAACAATCCGACACGCGTTCCGATTGTGTTCTAGAAGGTTCAGTTGGTCCCAGTTGCGAGCGAGTTTCACACGACACCTCCCATTTCCAATACAGTTGAGGCCTATGCCAGGAAACACCCTGCTCGCCTCCAGGGTGCCCTGGGTTTCTTGGGTTTCGATGGTTTTGTGATGGAAAGAGTGGGTTTCAATGGACGTCCTGGGGTCTCAGGAATGGTTTTCTTGTGGAAGGTTCTTCTGGTCAGGCCCCTACGGTACGCGATCAGTGCATACGTGTTCGGGGGGGCGCCGGCACAAGAAGCCATGCCGCTGCGGTGCTCGCTGCTCTCAGCACCGGGAGGTGCCTTCGTCGCTTCTCTTTCACTGGAGGGGCGCAGCTGTCGGGGCTGGAGCCGTGGCCTTGAGCCTGCACGAGCCCCACGGCCCCAGAAGTTTCCGCACTCGGGTGCTCCTCCTGTCTCCTCTTCTCTGCTCCTCTCTGCTCCTCCTCCTCCTCCTCCTCCTCCTCCTCCTTCTCCTCCTCCTCGAGGACGTGCGCTCCTCCTCCTCCTCCTCCTTGTCCTCCTCCTCCTCCTCTTCCTCTTCCTTCTCCTCTTCCTGGTCGGGTCCCACGAGTCCAGCTGATGATGCAGCGCGACTAAGACATGAACTTCGAAGGCTCTGGCCCCATCGTTTACATCATCCACAACTTCCACCTCACCGTACATGACGTGGACGCCATCGAAGAATTCATCCACGCTGATCACGCTTGCTGTTCTCTGTCTCCAGAACGCACGGTGACAAACGCGATTGGTGACTTCAACTTCTCGGACAGGCCGGCAATACACTTACACTCGCCGCAGGTGGACTCAGACGTCTCGTTCGCCGGCTCCTAGAACTTTGTACTCACAGACCACGCCGCCCGACGGTGGGACGATGTGCTGTCGCAGTTCGTGGACGTCCATGATGACACGCCGACCCACAACGTGGCAGAATGACCAGCTGGACCACACGCAGGCCGCATTGACCGCATCCTCGCATCCACCCCATAGCGGTTGGCTACACTGAGGCACTGGAGCGCGCAGACCCGAGCGATCTGTTCGACAACGGCATCTCCGACCACGCCCACATTTGCATGGGCGCAGCCGCCCGCCAACCAATCAAAAAAGACCAGCAGCGCATCCCAGACCACATCTTCAGAAACCCGAAGTTCGCGCAGCACCTGAGCAACATTATAACTGTCGTCCCTGGTTGGGAACGCCTATCGACATACCATACTCATACCAGCTACAAGGGACTTGCCCGTGAAGCGGCACGCTCCACAAGAATCGACCTGCTGAACCAGATAGCCCCTCGACACCAACAGAGCTTATCATCTTCTGCTCCATCGCGAGAGCCATCTGGCGCAACGGCACCAAGCTGGTCGAGAAACTTCGCGATTCAACAGGCCATCGCGCGAGAACGCCTTCGGAAGTACATGGCGCAGTGGTCTGTCGCCTTGCATTCGCTGCCTGACAATTTGACTATCATAACAAAGGGCCTGCACCGTGCACGCAAATCCGAAGCACGCCGAGCCCAAGTGTGTCCTCCCAGCAAGCGCCGCATGATCCTCCAGTCCATCGTGCACGACGGCAAAGGCCTGCACGACAAGTACGACATCGTCGAGCACACCCGCCGCTACTGGGGCAACGTCTTCGCCAACACGCCTGTCCGCAGCGATCTACACCAGCGCTTCCTGGAAGCCAGCGCGACGGACCTGGGGTTCGCAAACTGCAGAACTCCGAGCAAGATCAACATCGAGATGGCCATCTAGCATGCTCAAGACAGGCTCCAAAACCAGCAAAAGAGAGGTCCCCTCTATGCAGTGTCTTGCACGGTCTTTGGAGGGTCCTTGCAGGGATAGGGGGGGGTGCAACAACCTTGCAACCATCCTGCGCATTGGAGGTCTTGGATGCCTCTTGGAGCGATCTTGGGCCCCATGGCTCAAAAAAACGAGCGTGGGTCCACAATTGAGACCCCCCCTGCGGAGGCTCAAACATGGCGGGGCGCTCTTGGGCGTTCTTGGGGCCCTCTGAAGCCCCTCTTGGGGCTCTCTTGGGCCATCCTGGGGCCATCTTGGCGCCTCCAAAGCCGATCGAAAGCGAGATACCTAGAAGGCACCATACACTGTTTGTTCTGAGGCATTTGAAGGATTAGGGCCTCTTCGGGTATGTTTTGAAACGCCCGAAGGGCACCTGAAACCGTATTGGGGCTGTCTTGGGGCCTCTTGGATGTGTGTCGGAGGCTGTCTTGACCCATCTTGAGCTATTGAGCCATCTTGGAGGCCATCCTGGGCTCTCTTGGGGCCATATGGGGCCATCGTGGGCGCTCTGACCGTTCCCCCACCTTTTCCCAGGCCCAGGGGATGGGGTAGGGGGAGGGGAGGTTTGGCAAAGAGAAGTCACAACTCTTGAAACCACCTGCGCCCAGAGGGCTGGTGGGA